TACCTAACCTAACCTAACCTATCTTTATAGGTTAGGTTAGGTAGCGGAAAAAGATAGGTTAGGTTAGGTTAGGTAGGTTAGGTTGCCGAAAAACAATTAATTTAGGAAAACTTGGCTTATTAGGCAAATCAGGCCTTGCATAGTAGGCTGAGAAGTGCGTTCTGGCTACTAGGTACGACATATATATATATATATATATATATATATATATATATATATATATATATATATATATATATATATATATATATATATATATATATATTGGAAGCAGACTTTTTAAACATGTTTCGTTGAAAAAACAGAAAGTTTCAGATTTATGATTCTGGCAGGAATCTTCTCGATATTCCTTATGTTTTTCTTCACTGAAGCAGGAAGATTAAAAATTAAATCTCCAAAGTGAATTTTGATTAATTGCGTCTGACGGCTAGTGATGTGTTTCGTAAGGTCTCTCCTCACATTCTCAAAGACAAAATCTTCTGTTTTAGCTCCTGACTATATCCTCTAATGGTGAGGTGGTAGGTGACATGGATGGATGACATACATGGGTTATTAATGGGGTCCCATATAATGGATCTAATGGGGATAGTAAAGTGAGTGAGTGACATGATGGCAGCTTATGGTCTTCTGGTTTCTTCTGTTCCTGTTGCAGGGTCATTCGGTCCTGCATTGGCCCGGGGTCTTGAAGTGGGTAGAGTGTAACTGTGTGTTAACTGGTTATTGATTGCTGGCCTAAATTTCTTGATATGCAGCGCTTCACTGATGATTAATCTGCTATTGTCAATTGTATAGAATAATTGACAGACCAGACCGTCTTGGTCTGGAAGATGACAGAGTGTAGCTGGGTGTTGAGGCTTGGCTGAACTTGCTGGATGAGCGGCGCCTCGCCGGTGTCCAGTCTTCGGTCGTGACTGTACCTGTCCATTATTTTTGTGTTGGCAGAATAGTTCTGGTGATGATCTGGTTGAGTAGAGACTCTAATATGTTCCTTAGCGAAGCCTTGTTGCTTGTGTATTGCCAGGCAGCTTGAGAGAGATGTTGTTGTCTGGCTTTGTAATGAGATAATTGGAACGATCTAAATTTTTAGCGATTTTTTTTTCTAAAAAAAAAACGTGCCGGACCAACCGGGCTGTGGTGGGTATGTGGGCCTGCGGGCCGCTCCAAGCAACAGCCAGGTGGACGAAACTCTCACAAGTCAAGCCTGGCCTCAGGCCGGGCTTGGGGAGTAGAAGAACTCCCAGAACCCCATCAAGCAGGTATCAAGCAGGAGTTTCACATCGCCCACTTGGCATAGAAAACGTTTGTCTCTTTCAAGGCGCTTCGTTTAGTGTCGGGAGAGTTCTTCGTGACCATGATGGCGGTCTTCTTGCTCTTGAAGTATATCATTAGCACTGTCTTCAGGTTAGTGTTGGAGGGATAATGTCCTTCAGTGACTCTTTCTTCCGTTTTGTCGGTCGTAAAAAAGACATTCCTGTGGAATTTCTTTTAACAGCACAAGCGTCGTCGGAAGACCCAACATATGTTGGGTCTCATGTACACTTTGACTCATCTCGTCATCAAAGGGTAAAGCAACCTGTATTTTTTTTTTCGATGTTTCTGAGGGCTCTTAAGGCCATGTAGTCCTGAGCTTATAGATGATGAAATTAGTGCCATGTATGACTTAGGTTTCAATTTAAAATACCGTAAGTCATTTATTGATAAAGCTAGTCAAGTTGCTCGTAACACTTTCTTTAGTTAGTTATTAAGTGGTCCAAGGGCGCCTCTAGGTCCCCCAGGAGCACGGGTACTAGAGCTACTGCTCAAAGAATCTAGTATGCTTATTGCTTCAGATTTTCCACGAAGCACTTTAAAGTTAAATTATAAAAGTTACACATGTATCCCCCGGGCCCAGGGTGGGGTGGAGGGGGGGGGGGGGAAAGTTGTGGGCCGGGACATTTTTCTCACTTTTCGTAACTAACAGAATTCATTTGTTTTCCTCTGAACAAGTGGCCGCAATGTTCCCTGCAATAATTTGCATACGGCACAGAGGGCAAACTGGCAAAGGTTTACACCTATTATAGAAATGTGGGTGTAGTTATATGTGTGGGTCGAGTGCTAGCTCCTCAGCCCCGGCCTTGTCGCTACCTTACTCTCCTTCCTACCTTGTCATAATTCCGAGGATCAACGTCCTCACTGCCTATGAGCCAGACCCCCCCAACTAACCTATATTCGTCCTGTACCACAGACCATTCACCTTGCAAACTTTAGGCTATAGGCGCCCAAGTTAATATAGCATCATATTATTATGTCGTCCATTGAAAAACCTGATTAACATCAGATTTGGAGGTTTGCGGTGTCCTGTATATTGTCTACTCTCATGAATACCCTAGTTTGGTCAACACAAATATCATAGTGTCATCTGCAAATGATGATACAGTAGTATAGTTTGTATCCTTGTTTATGTCCGATGTGATGATATGAGTCATTGAATATAAGTGCATGTAAACACTGGTTTACATGCAATTTTATGAAGCTAATACGAGAGCTGATCAATACAATTCATTGTAATAAAGATTGTATAGGCGCATACAAGCGTGTATGTTTTTGGTGTATTGTTTAGGGTTAAACTTTCAAAGAGGTTGTTTGTTGTTCTTGTTACTAAGCTCTCTAACACAAACAAATATATACAAATTGATGTAGTTATTTTGTATTCAAATAAAATTAAGTGATATTACAGTTACAAGTTTCACGCCTTGGCCGGGAATCGAACCCGGCCAACGATACCCAAGCGCTGTCCACTCAGCCGCGAGGCCCCAATGTGTGTGTGTGCGTGTTAGAGAGAAATATATGTAGCAGGCATTATAGAGCAAAAATTGATTGATTAGAGAGGCGGGGACCAAGAGCTAACAGCATGATTCTGCAGTCACAAATAGTAAATACTTTGTGTATTTATTTTTTGTATAAACTATTGTATATAATATTTAGAATCTAGTTGTAAGTTATTTCAAAGCGTTATATGACAAAGAGTGCTGGGAAGACGGGACACCTCGAGCGTAGCTCTCATTCTGTAACTACACAATTACACACACACTACGGGGCCTCGTAGCCTGGTGGATAGCGCGCAGGACTCGTAATTCTGTGGCGCGGGTTCGATTCCCGCACGAGGCAGAAACAAATGGGCAAAGTTTCTTTCACCCTAAGTGCCCCTGTTACTTAGCAGTAAATAGGTACCTGGGAGTTAGTCAGCTGTAACGGGCTGCTTCCTGGGGTGTGTGTGTGTGGTGTGGGGAAAAAAAAAAGTAGTTAGTAAACAGTTGATTGACAGTTGAGAGGCGGGCCGAAAGAGCAAAGCTCAACCCCCGCAAAAACACAACTAGTAAACACACACACACACACACACAAAGAGATGCCAGAGATATCATTTTTTCAGTCAATCTCTCAATAAGTAGAACAGGTTAGACATGGAAATCGTTAAGGCAAAATAAAGGCGCCAATAATCAAATAACGTTGGGAAGGCGAGGCTAGGAGTCTAGCTGGACCCCAGCAAGGACA